TGCACCGGATCCTTGAGAGCGGAAAGTGGTGCTATGTTTACCACACCGACTATGTCAAACAGGCCAAGAAGAAGAAGGCTACGACGGTGGTAGGCGACGTCCTGCCTGGTGAACCCCTGAACGGCAATAGGCCGATTTTTCCGTTCTTGCAGACTTTAAGTAAGAACCCAGGATGGCACCAGAGACCTGACATGGTCGTCCATGTAGCCGAAGACGCTCGATCATTTAGGATCCCTGATGCACGATACGGTGCATGGCGTTTTCCTCTCAGGACCACATACGGTCGCTATGATCTGACCAATGGAAGGTCGGAGTGGAGGATTTTGGAAACTGGAGTCGATCTCAGTCAACTCACGAAACGACAAGAGTTGTTGAGTCAGCCAGCCTCCTGCCTGGTGTCTGTGTTCCGGTCTCGGATCAACAAAAGAAAGTCATCCGCTGAAGTTTCATGTGAGCATGATCCATCTTGATCCGGACCGGTTGGACATGTGTTTGAACTGCGGCCAACTCGGCTGTTGGAAGGCGCCTCGGCCTTAGGCTGCGACTTAGGCATCGGTGAAAACCGCTGGAGACCGCTCGTTGCCGTTCGGTCTTTGTCAATATATGTATGACTCAAATGATCAAGAGTTCCAAGTTCTAAGCCTCGGAAGTGCGCATTGAAAGCCGTCTCTGACGGCCAACATTGAAAGGATTCAATTGACAGGGAGGCCAAAGAGGCCGAAGTCCGGTGACGTGTCTGTTTCAGAAAGCCGTGGCAATTGGGGTCGCGTCCTTTGCGCAAGCTACCCTTACCCGCTTTCACGAAAAAGAAAAGTCATCCCCAATCATGAACGCTCTTCAAGTACATAGTTCAACTCTGGTCTGAAAGCCTCTTGCAGGTAGAGGCCCCCCCAAAAAAATAAAGTGTGTTCCGTGGCCACATGTTCGATGGCGGCCATCACACCCCTGGTCTCCTTAGAGTCAATGGATTCCGGGTTTAGCCAATGGATGGACCTGATTTCTTCGTCCTGCACCCAGACGTGATATGTTTCGTTTGAATCATCCCCATGACAAGATGCTGCCATTCACGGCTGAACAGTGTACCGGTCACGACCAAGTACAACATGTCACGCATCTGAGCGGTTGCACTTGGTGCCGAGTTGATTTGAGAGTTCCCAGGCATTGAGCGGCGCAATGGTAGCTTGCCAGGCCTTGATGGCAATTATGTGTTGTGGTCACGGGCAAGATTCATTCACATCATTTCCGTCTCAAATTTGTTTCGGGCCTTTGCATGAGTGTAAACACATACATGCTTTGTTCAAGTGGCGCCTGGGTCTTGGATTGCTTTGACTATATGGGACCAGTGCAGGTGGAGACAAGCACTGTGGGCCATGTCACCAAACCAGATTAAGAAAACATCATCACCTGGCTTTTCTCCGACTGCAGTTTCTGGAAGATTTGGACACAGGCACCAACTTTGGAGCTGACAAGGGGTGTGGAAGGACTCCTGCAGCACTAGATTCTTAGGTCTTGGGCATTGCAAGGGTACTCTGCTTGGGAAGCTTTTCTCGCGCGATTGTGCGAGCGATCTGGTTGTAGGCGCGCTCCCAACACCACCAGGCCGTTTGGGATGCAGCCAATGGTCCAGGGGCGTCTGGTTTTTTGTTTTGATTTCGCTCTTGCGTGAAGATACTGGTGTCTCACGACAAACGCCTGAGCCAAAGTCGTCAGAAAGAGACAAACACATACTGTAGATGTAGATGCAGTGGTTGACTTCCCATGATTTAGAGACAAATCTTGAATAGCAAGATAATCGGAACTGGATGGACTAAGCCTAAGCAATCAAGCACATGAAAAGAACGATCGCAGGTATAGCCCTTGTACTTTAAGGTGGATATCCCAGACAGCACAAACAGCTCCCAGTTCGGCAGAATACTCCGGAAAGGATGACCGCTGCAATCGTTTTTGCGTTAGTTCCCAGTGCCTTGGTGCGGGCGGTTTAGATCATGGGCATTGCAGCGCAAATGAAGGAAGTTTCCCACCACGACACAAACACACATACGCAGAAGAATTGACATGCCCGGATCTTTGGGGTAATTTTCATGCCATGCAGTGACATTCCAAATAGAATCAACATATGACTCGACCAATACCAAATGCAAGTTTGCACGATGTTTGAAGCTCAAGACCCAAGCATCATTTGACACGTTGTGTGGATTTGAGCAGAGGGAGTGACGGAGTGAGCCCTTTTGTGTAGCGAGGTGCCGCCGAGGCCGCAGCCAGCGGGTGGTGCCATGATTTGTCCATCAAGACATGAGTCTAAGTGAAAATGTGGTGAACAACCCGACTCCTAAGGTTCACTCCTTGGATTTTCAGGTTTTCTTCCAGCGGTTGCTTTCCTGGAGTCCCGGACCATGGAACTAGAAGTCACCTTGTCCCCATGCTTTCAGAACAGACTCGCATCTTACATGGATAGCTGGTCCACTTGGTTGCGACGGAAGTTCCGAGGAACGGCTTATTGATTGAATGATCATGCCTGCGGTGGACTCCAAATCAGGAGTTTGCACTTGAGTGTACTGCAAATGCCCTGATGGAATTGCATTCTTTATCCAAAACTTTATTCCGGTGGTGCTATTTGCTTGTCCCTAGCTTCCCCAGAAATTGATTTTCAGTGGGACAGTCAACAAAGGCTGATCCTTTAGTTTGGTGCAAAGGAGCTTGTTCGGGTCGTGGACAGCAACTGTTACTGGCATGTTGAAATACAGTGCTGGATGCTGTCGGATAAGTTCACCGGTGTCAGGCAGGATGGTGCAAAAAGGTGTTTGATTCCTATCATTGCATTATTGCACTACTCCTAAATTCTAAAGTTTAGTGCTTTTGAGCCTTGATTTAACTGGGATGCCTACAGCATGTGGCTCAACCTGCGTGGAAATGGGCTTTGGGCAGCCCCAAATGCCCATTCTACTTCCCACGTTGGGACCCTCAGACGCCAAGCCGACGGATTGAGATAAGAGATTAGAGGAATTGAAATAAAGTGTAACAAATTTGGAACATAAAGCAATCTGTGGTTGAGGAAAGGATTTCTACAGTGGAAATGCAAAATTTTCATGCGTTGCTGGTATCATGATGTATCATGTACCGGTTGCCGATGTCCTCGGATTGTGAGCATGCTGATTCCACTAATAGCCAGTCCAGCCACATCGCCTTCTGGGCCCAGACCAATGTTCCCGCGTCCTAGCCACATGAAAACGAAAAAAGACGTCCGAGTCGGGTCGAGGCTGTTCGTCTCCGATCTCTTTCGAGGTATCTGGAAGTTGACGAAGAAGTCGCAAGCTGTTCGAGCAGCTACGATGACGATGAGGAGGGGACGAGCACATACTTCGTCCTCAATGTTCCTGTGCTCTTCACATCCGACGAGCACTTCGTCATCCGGTAAGCCGACTTTGACAGGTAAGAGGAGAAGTTCCAAAAGGTGAGCCAACCTAAAGACCTGAAGTTTTTGGAATCACCCAAGCATCCTAGCACTTTCAAGTCGAACAAGAGGTAGGACACCTCGATCTTGCAACCACTGGAGTCACTAGACCATTTGTTTTGGCACCAACGCCTCAATCATTTTGCGCAGGACTGGGATTCGTTAGCTGCGACCTCAAGATGGCAAGGGGCGGTTGGAAGGTAGTTTCATGCCGTCAGCGGAGGAAGCAATGCCTGGCATCGAGAGGTAGGAAGCTGCTGCTGCATGACCACCTGCCGCTGAGGACACGGCCGAAGGTCCCTCACAGGACAAAGGGTCATGTCGCTGGGTGTCAAAGTGCTCATGTCCAGTCGCTGGATCCCCTTCATTTGAGCTTCACCTGCGGTTGATCGAGACGCAGGAAGAACCTATGAAAAATGCCTTGTTCTCCACGTTTTAACCACCAGGATCGTCCTCTATTCGAAGGGTGCCGCTTGCCTGTGTTTTTTGAAGCGCCAGGAACGCGAGACTAGCCCTTGTGGGCCAGATTCACCACAAGAGGCCAGGCACCATGGGTGGATGAGCTATGGCTGTCACGATTTTTTGTTCAGAAGAAAGTCGAAGACGGATGCGTGTCAAAAACCTGTGCGAAAGCACAGAGCTCACAAGCAGTTGCCACCTCCGTGGAGATGCAGATGTACCCCAAAACAAGATGAGATAACGAACAACAGCTCGTGATCGTCAGTGCTCATTGCACGCTGTGGAACAAAACTCCGAGGGAAGGAGGATTTCTCATTATTGGCAGCCTTTTGGAGGTGGATCCGGAGCCCGCAAAGATGTTCCACGCAAGAGCATGGGTCGCTCAGACAGGGCCCTTCTGCCAGAAGGGCCCTCTAGCGGACTCGAGCGGCTGGAGAAGGTGTTCTAAAACCTGCTGCAATGAGGCACTACAATTACGTTACATAATTAAGGTCTTCGTGTTGTTGGTGAGAGGACCTTCTACTAAGGACTCTTTTTGCTGGATGTCAATGAACAGCCTTTATAGAGTTCAACCGGGACAAGTTCTCCCTAACTTTCAACCAATTGAAGCTGGCACAAGAACTCCTGAAGTTATTAAATACTTGTTCTACTTCCCTCAGTGTTTGATGTGGTGGAAGCAGGAACTGTACTTGGTGAAGATACTGGGTTCAGTTGTAGCGGAATGTGATTTCTCTTCAGCAGCTAAAATCAGCTTCAAACCCCCGCCTTTCTGCCCCAGCTAAGAAGAAGAACACACTAAAAGAATATGACAGCTGCCGCACTCTAGCAGCGTAGCTGGCAGGATGCATGACGTTTCTTCTAGAGTTCCTTGGAACATGCTGGCAGGTATCACATCACGCACAGCACGTGCAGCATGTCTCCTTTTGGAGGTATTGAACCCGTCCGATACAGTGATACTACACATTGTTTTTTTTTAAATGTTTTTGCAGACAAGCAATTGTTGACAGACACTTACTCAGTGGGAGGTTTGCAGTGAGAATGCTACTCCAAACCGGTCCAAAGCAAGACCAATTGGTAGTCTCAGTATGCTCTGGTGACTTTATGTTCCCCTCAGGGGTTACCTTGAGATTTGTGATGTATCAGTTCCAACCAGCTTCTTGACTACTTACTCTGGCATCTTCCAGAGCTACTCTCACTCGCGCCCGCCCACCCGCCGATGTGCCTGCGCCATGGATAACCAAGAGCTTCGAGATTTCAAAGATTTCCTTTGCTTCCGTTTCGTCGGGGCCCTTGAGCTTTGCCGAATGGCGCCCACGCATAGGCGCTGGTGCAAGACGGCCCAAGAGGAGCTCTCGATGATTCGCAAGACACTTCCCAGAAGTGGCAGACACTTATATAATTACCTTTTGAATCCAACATACCATGAATCTACAATACAAAACAAGCTCTTTCCATACTGCTGTGCACTTCGTCTCTGATTGTTTCGGGAGAAGTCCCCATGTCCAGGATGCGCTTTGGTTGGAGCTTTGTCGCGCGTGCTGGTCCACCAAGGCGGGTGACTATCTGTTTGTAAAGAACCAAGTCAGCTGGGTCAGTGTTAAATGTTTCTTCCATGGCAAAACATTAGTTCCACCGTCTCTGATTTTTGACGCTCGCCGCCACCACCACCACCACCACCACCACCACCACCACCACCACCACCACCGTTCTGCTCTCTGACCTCCTTGCATGGCAAAATGTGGACTGCCTGCATTGCTATAGTTGCTGAACAATGCAGGTGGACGTTGAACTAGCATACGCGCTAGCTGCGATGTCATCTTCTTTAAAGCTCATACAGTTCGATTGCGAAAGAATCTGTTTCAAAGCACCAAATACACTCGGCTTCATGAGTCGCGCAGCTTCCGTCGTGCAGGTGAGCAGCTTCCACCTCACCAAGCGACGTCAAGAGGAGCTCAGTTCTCAAGGAATCAGCTGGAAGGAGCATTACAGGTGGGGGGCGTACAAGTTCTCAGCGAGTTGAGTCAGATTTCTGGACATGCGAAAGACGTTGGCATTGTATGTAGTCAACACGAGTGGAACGAGTAAAACGAGCCTAGAGTGTCTATAGTCCAGCGCGAGAGCTGCAAGGTCTGCACGAAGCTAAGTCTAACTGGTGCAATTAGGCCTTGGTGTAGCTAGTCGGCTAGTCTCCATCAGCCATTTCTATTTTATAGTTCTTTATTGTTTTTAATAGCTACTTGCTCCTAGTAGTACGGCCAGGAGCCCCTAGTAGCGTTCTTGCTCCTAGTAGCGATGCCCTTTGCTCCTAAGTCCTAGTAGCGTCCTCTTGGTGTAGCTAGTCGGCTAGTCTCCATCAGCCAAGCAACTTTGCAACTTGCCGATGCAAGGCAGCACTTGCAAGATGGTGGTCGAAGCTGTATCACGCTTGAGGAGCTTACAGAGAATGTGCCTCGGCAAAGTTGGATATGCTGTAACCAGGAGCTATACCTGCTAGGTACACTCCAAATACTGCTTGCAGTGCACAACATGGATCCATTGGGGAAATTAAAGCTCAAAGACCATTTCTGGCTCTTTAATCCCTGTTGAAAACCGGCCTAGTTCCCGTCCGGAACCCAAGAACGGGACGCCCGCCCATCCGCACCGTGAGTGCGCGCCCTGCACCGCGTCGGCAGGTTTGGGACTTCACCTTTCGCTTGCATCCCCAGCTGCGGGCCTCCTCCAGCTTTCGCTTTGATCCCGACTCGCGGTGCGTCACGGGACATCCCAATGGGCTCACCTACCACTGGCAACTGAGCAGCTCGGTCTGGTCTATGTTCGGAATGAAGGATCCAATTCGTTCCAACCATAAGATTTCCAAACAACCACCGAGGCTGAGATTTGAAGAGATTTGGTTTGGTTGAGATTTTCAGCTCTTGTCAAGGAAAAAGACTGATTCTTCAGAATGGCAGGTGCCGACGGACATCGTGTGGAGCTGGGCGCGTTTCCTCAGGCCAAGGTGATTCGTCGAGATGATTGGGGCTGGGCCATCGCCAACAGCAACATCGTTTGCTGCTTCCTGGTTGAATCTGGTGGCGTTTCTGGGATAGTTCTTTTCAACAGATCACAAGTAGCTTGAAACTATCTGGACTCTATAAGCCAACATGGACACCCGCTGCTTGTCATTTGTGGCCATGTTCTACTTCTGACAAAAGACATTCTCAAGACCTGCGTGGCCACACCAGTCGTGGCCCTGTCACCAGTCGTGGCTGAGGTTCTTTGGATGCCAAAGATTTAGCGGTGCCTGGCGCTGTGGATTTGCATCCGCAGCTCTTCAGCCTGGAACAGCTGGCCCCATCACTTCAGCTTGTTCAGCTACCTGGTAGCCGATAATATGGGGGGTAAAGGATTGCCCAGCAAGTGTTAGGCCAATTCCCACCTGGTTTGTGTGGGTGTACATATTGCTAGCTCAGTCAGTATAAGATAAGCATGTCAGTTTGATGTATTGTGTCAATGACTTTCCAAGATGAAGAGTGTCCCACCATAAGCGACCCCTTGAAGGGCAGGCTGAAATACAGCAAGAACCTAAGCTAATAGTAACAAAGGGCATCGCTACTAGGAGCAAGGACACTACTAGGGGCTCCTGGCATCGCTACTAGGAGCAAGGACCCTACTAGGGGCTCCTGGCATCGCTACTAGGAGCAAGGCCGCTATTAGGGGCTCCTGGCCTTGCTACTAGGAGCAAGAAGCTACTGGGGGCTCCTGGCATCGCTACTAGGAGCAAGGACGCTACTAGGGGCTCCTGGCATCGCTACTAGGAGCAAGGATGCTACTATGGGCTCCTGGCCTTACTACTAGGAGCAAGAAGCTACTAGGGCTCCTGGCAACTAGGAGCAAGGACGCTACTAGGGGCTCCTGGCATGCAAGGATGCTACTAGGGGTTCTGGCCATACTGCTAGGAACAAGAAGCTACTAGGGGCTCCTGGCATCGCTGCTAGGAGCAAGGACACTACTAGGGCTCCTGGCATCGCTACTAGGAGCAAGGATGCTACTAGGGGCTCCTGGCCTTGCTACTAGGAGCAAGAAGCTACTAGGGGCTCCTGGCATCGCTACTAGGAGCAAGGACGCTACTAGGGGCTCCTGGCATCGCTACCTAGGAGCAAGGATGCTACTTTGGGCTCCTGGCCTTACTACTAGGAGCAAGAAGCTACTAGGGCTCCTGGCATCGCTACTAGGA